GCAATACTCTGTTTACGGTAGAAAGAGAGTTAGATCCAGGCATAAAAAGTGATGCATATAGTTATTCGAAATTTTATTGACAGTGCTCTTTGTGTATAGATTTCTACCCACATAAAATTAGTAGGGGTTAACAGAACATAAAAAGGGGTTCGTCATACCAAAGGGACGCCGCGCTTGTGGGACTTTTTCATGAGACAGACTTTAGGCATCTTACCACAAAGTATACAATCTTATGCACGCGAGTTTTTTTTATTCTCCTCCTTAAGTGACCGACCAAGTACTGATACAAATATTTACTTCACGATTCTACTTATAACTCGGTACCAAAGTATTGATATCAAAATACTTGGCATCGTAAGAAAAGTATCGAATAAGTACTTGCATCGTATTATCTCTATACAGTAGTACAGACTCTACCAGCAACCTTAGATAAAACATTTCAATACTTTAGAACGCCTAGAATTATTTGTCATGTATTTGTAAGCTATTTATCAACATGAGCCGTACGACGCTCACTATTGGAAATGCATCTTAAATCTAATCAGGGCTCTTCAGCCACAAAGATCTGACCCGTGTGACCAGGTTTCATACCATCTTATATATATTTCAAGCCACTGCCAGTTGCCGGTAGCAATATCATGCAAAAAAATAATGTTAGTTATATTGGAGTTTCCTTAAATAGTTATTTTATTCTGTTTTATAGTCAATATGTTCAAACCCATTTCTTTCTCGTATTTTATCAATTTCATTTGACGACCTCCGTAGCCGAGCGGCTCTCTTGCCGGTTTCAAGGTGTCCTATCACTGAGGCAAGAACTGTTCTAATTGTTTCAGGGATGGGTGTTGATTTTATTTCAAAATCTCCATTCCAAACAAGTGCTTCAATTTTTGGTCACCTTCACTAACCTAAAAATCGCATCTTTTCATATGCATAATATATGTCGCATCATCATTACGAAGATCGTTTGATTTAGTTTCTTTTATTTTAATTGCTAGTTACTCGATTACTTAATTACTCGATTGTAAAGAGAGCGTGATCATCGATACTTTTAATTTTATTAGAATGGTGACACTGACTTTGACAGTTCGTTAATAAAAACCAAGTTGCCGCCATTTTGGCACACATTCTGTTTCCGATCGCCGAGGAGTAAAGACATCAGACGACATCACGCTCATCTCGTTATATTTTCGTACGAAAAGTGATAAAATGTAACAAATCCACGTTGGTATACACGCCTGCAGTGTTATTTTAAAGATAGTCCTCCGATATGGACGATCTATTTGGGCTTCGCAATAGCACCTTCGGACTACCCGCCGTTATCAGAAGTGGGATGTAACCGACCAAGTGGATACACAGATGTCATGGATATGCAGAATCTTGTTGCGATAACAAAATCAAAACTTTTTCGTCCTCATCCACGTAAGTCATATGTGCCGTCGTCGAATCACATTTGCATCTACCCGAACTCGATCCTGGCAATATTTTTGCCTGTCGATACAAGAAAAAACACTTGAAGCCTTCGTGGGGAGAACCAAGCGTTCCTAATATGAAAAACAGTTACGGAACAGATGGTCACTACTCTCAAGATACCTGAAGCCTGAAGTGATGTTTCGTCTGCTGGCATTGCTAGTGAGCGACATCTGCTTCATTGCTACCCTTACTAGTATTTTGGAGTATTTTGGTGAGGCGTTTTCATTTTGTTATGATACTGGAATTGAGTACTCCCTTATAAAGTAATTAATATCGTGAAGAATTCATGGCAATCGAATTAGTAACACTCTTAAAATCACTAGTTAAGTGAAAATAAAATTGAAAAAGTGTGATTGCATTGCTGCTTAAGTGGGGCAATCGAGGTTCTCAAACCAGTTTGTTGTTTATGCATACTTTCATTGTAAATAAGATTTGATGATAGAATTTATTAACTCTTAAGTTTTAATTACTAAAGAAACTTAAAGTATAAACGGTCTCTAATCATTAAAGTTTCGATTGGTTTCAAAATCTTGCTTTAGTTGAAGTCAGGACTGACCGAGAAAAGAATCTATCGCGCTGCATATCAATTGGATGCCTAGTAAATGGTTAGTGGTACTATTAGGTACTCAATATTTCTCAATGTTTGATAGAGAGATAATATTTTCATGAAAGTTCAATTCAACAATCAAAAATTTCTTATGAAATGACTGTATAAATCGCATCCTATGTACTTCCCAACTTTTAAGTCGTTTCACAGAGCCTCTGGGGACCACGGTCATAAATAAGGCCCGGACCCCAGCTTCGTCATTCCCGTTTCCTTTAGAGCCTCTGTGGACCACGGTCTCATGTAAGACCCAGACCCCAGCATCGACCTTTCCCCATCTCCTTTTGAGCTACTGTGGATCATGGCGTACAGGACCGCTCATGACCGCAGCATCACACTTGCTACGAGTACAATAATCAATGCAATTATGCGTGGAGCATTTGCATTGACCAAATATACTTGATAAAACAGCTCATTTTCCTAAACAATTTCCTAAAATTTCCTAAACCTTTCCTAAGCAACTTAACTACCGTTTTTATAACAATTGTGATAAAATACCCGTTGGTGATAAATTTGATGTTTAAAAAATTATAGTCGAAATCTAGTTCAAATCAAAATTCCCAAATGACTAGGTTTACAGATACCTAGCTCAGAAAAGCTCTTCTATTTTGTTACAGAAACGGGACTGGCGCAGAGCACGCACCGTCTCCCAGAATGGCCGTGTCGCATCATCATTACGAAGATCGTTTTATTTAGTTTCTTTTATTTTAATTGCTAGTTACTCGATTACTTAATTACTTGATTGTAAAGAGAGCGTGTTCATCGATACTTTTAATTTTATTAGAATGGTGACACTGACTTTGACAGTTCGTTTATAAAAACCAAGTTGCCGCCATTTTGGCACACATTCTGTTTCCGATCGCCGAGGAGTAAAGACGTCAGACGACATCACGCTCATCTCGTTATATTTTCGTACGAAAAGTGATAAAATGTAACAAATCCACGTTGGTATACACGCCTGCAGTGTTATTTTAAAGATAGTCCTCCGATATGTACGATCTATTTGGGCTTCGCAATAGCACCTTCGGACTACCCGCCGTTATATATGTATTTACGATATATTTAGGATATTTTATATATAACTGTTTAATAACTGTATGATATAAATATCAGATTTTTGCCAACCCTGGTTAGGAGTAATTGTTTTAAATAAGAATAACACTAAAATTGATACAACAACTTTAGACATTGTTACATAAGAAGGCCATTACATGTACAGAGATACTCAGATCTACCTACATCACAGTCGACATTGCGATGTGACAATGATTTTAAGATAATTCCAGAATTTAAGAGTTAGATGACAAGTAGAGAGCTTACTAATATATTATTTACTATCTGTTATTCCGCAACTTCCTCTATGTTAATTATATCAATTATACTTTCACATTTATAATCCTAATATCATAAATGTGAAAGTTTCTTTGTTTGCATGTTTTGTCCGTCAATCTCGCCGAAACTACTGAACAGATTTTGATGAAATTTGCTATACAGATAGGATATTAGCTAACTTAGATAATAGGATACTTTTTATCCCACTAAAGATTTCCCTAGGGACCACGCGGGCGAAGCCGGTGGCGAAAGCTAGTTATATCATACACCCTCGTATGATGTAACTTACCGCAGAATATTACCGCATAACAAAACAGATAGAATTATTAAATTCTGTTTTAGAGCCGATTCGATGCTATCGAACAATTAAATTTTCATTATTAGCATGGATAACAAATATATTCAATGCGTAGTACTTATTTTAAGAGGGCACACCCAAAAAATATTAAAAACTTAAAATGCATATATGTACTTAATATTATTTTACGTTCAATGGTATTTTTTATCCATACTAATATTACAAAGATGAAAGATAAGATTTAAAAGAGGATTTTCTTTTAAATTTAAACTATTAAGATACTTATCAATCTCTTAAAATTTAACTAATTCGTAAGCATCATAAAAATCTTATTGACGGGGATAGTCTTTTGGTCTACGTTTCAAATTAAGAAAAAACCATTCTTCTTAAATATTTATTTCTGTTGCATTCTAAATATCACGGTCGGCCATCAACTTCCCTTTCTTTATTTTCCAAAACATAGAGATTTCCACACTTTTCGTATAAAATATTATATTCTTTGAATTGCCTTTTATTGTGTTATGAAAGTATTATAAACTTTATACAATCGTCATGAAAGATACTTAATATACATTACAAAACTTAAATAAAACATTGACAATGAATTGTGTAATTCTATCTATGTATGAAAATAGTTATTAACAACGAACGGGTTCTAAATGGTGATAGTCCATCAAATTCGCTATATGCCGCTGGATGTCCTTGGCGATGTCCCGCTATCCAATATTTGAGGAGCGGCAGTATGCAGGGTTACACTGGCTACGATTTGGTTGGCATCGGATTCAATCAAGACAAAGGTTATTAAATAATCAAGAAAAAGGTTAAATTTTAACCTTTTTCTTGATTGAATCCGATGCCAAAAGAGAAAAGTTTCCAATGGTTATTTCGGAGTATTTACTCCGAAATTTACAAGCAAGGCAACATGCATGGTATAAAGATATCTGAATTTAAGGAATTGCAATTATTTTGATATTTGTGAAAATAACTAATAATTAAATAGAATCTTAAACATATTCATATAGGTAAGTAAATATACTGAATGTTTTGTTAATAAATCATAGATTACTTACATGAACTTTAATTGTAATAATTAAGTAGTTTAAATTATACCTATAAATTAAAGAATATTAACACCCGGTTCCTGAATCAATTCAGATCATTCTATTCTCAAGAATTTAAAGTTGAGGACGTCTCAAATTGTATACAAACGTCACTTAAACAGGTTTCCGTTTCAGATTTTAGTTTTGATAGAAGTGATAGAAGTATGATAAAACTCTACTTTTTGACTATTGAAACTTAAATTATTGAGAATAATCAGTTGAGATTCAGAAACCGTGAGGCAGTCACATGACATAAATAAAAACATGTAATTAGTTATGACTAGTTCGTACTGTACTTATGTAATTATTAAACACAAATTATTCCATTTATATAAATTAAATTAATAAACATAAATAACCTTAAAAAACTATAAATTGTGATTTTTTTTATTTTTTATTAATCATTATTATCTTATTTTTTGAAAGTTAAATGACATAGAGATTTAAAATATTCAAAAATATTTAAATTAGTTTATTATTAAATATGTAAGTGATAGTTAAAATTTATTGTGGAACTTATAAAATGCCTTTTATAATATAATTACAATAAATATTTAATATACTTTTATAATTTCAATCTAGAAACGCAATTTCTGTCTTTACAGCAGAGGCAATGAAATTTAGCTTTAGAACATTAAATTAGCAGCAACGGTTACTTGTTTTTTTAGAAATACCAACTTTATTCTATTTGTGGGCATTGTTTTTAATATATTGATGACCTTAGAAATACATAATTAAATTCTGAGAATTTCTTTTGAAATCTTTACTTTTGCATTACACTTATTTTTAATAATATATTAATAGTTCACACGCAGATGAAGCTAGAAATAAATGGGTATAAATAAATTTAATCGGATATTTTCAATTAATAGTCTGTGTACGGTAGAGAAGCTTTGCCAACGCCATCTAGTGACACAGGTCGGTAATAATCCCTCATTTCACCCCAACCGCGAGGCGCTACATTGAAATTGGGCCCACAGACAAGGGGCAAGCGCGGGCTTTTCGGTGAGGCATAGACATCGTTTAGCTTTGTGGGTGCCAGAGACAAGGGAACCTCTATGTTTTGTACGGTAATAGTTGGTGGGGAGACCGGGAAAGGTTCCATTTTGGGTAGCGACGTGTGTTTCAGTGCGGACTTGGGATACGTTTTCTGACTACGCAGACTCGACGGCGGACGGTAGGCTGTATCGTGGTTGGCTACCGGAGTGGGCGTGGAACATGAGTTCGAAGTGTTTCGGCCTGGAAATAAATTATACCAACTTAAAAAAACATATGAAGGCGTGCATGCCAATATTATTAACTTTCAACTGGTTTTGTACAGTCCACTTGATTTGTAACCTTAATATTTTGATGGTAGAGTTTAAAATCAACTACGGAAATCTGATATATTGTGGAGAAAGAAATAACGTCCAAATAAGCTATAATAAAAAATGAGAAACTGCATTATGTATGTAAGGGTTATGTCGCAGTCCAAATGTGAGTTTGTAAAATTTTCTCATAAACATATTATTCTTTTATTACTTTGTAGGTGAATGAATGCTTTATGAAAAACTTTAATAATAATCGTAGATAATCTGCAAACAATTATGTATTGACGTTTAATATGCCATTCTCTGTCGCTGTATGTCATTACATTTTGTTCCCGTTATTCTTTGATCTATGACGATTTCTACTATCAAGTCACACCGGTTTGAAGATGTCCGGACGGATCAATGTAGAAAATGGAATTTTCTCCAGATTTCTTTTGTCGTATTGATATTGTAATTATTATATTTTATAACTTTTTCATTTACAGTATTTACTATTGATTTAAGCTGAATTGGTTAAAGCAGCGGTATTATGAAACAAACTCATAATGGGTTCGATTGTTCAAGCTCCCGTATTATAAAACGTTATAAAACGTATGGTGGCTGACCTCTCAATTTTGTAAATTATTATTTTATAAGGTGAATATTCATATTCTCCCTAATCGATTTTAATAGACTAGTAACACATATTATCATTTTATAAGCATTTGAAAATCTGTCTATAATAGGTATATATAACTTGTTTTATTCGGAAGCAATTGTGGCATTGTATTATGAAAAAAACACCTTGTTACATTTCCTGACTTATAAATCTTTAATAGTGTATTGATATAGCACTTATTAGATATAAGAAAAGACAAATCAACATACAATTAAGAGGTGTTGTAGAGTCAAAAGATTGTCCCTATTTATTCGTATAGAAATAGGGACAGAAGATGTTGAATTGCGCGACAAAAACTATTATTAATTAATCATCAGCCGTTTGACGCCCACTGCTGGGCACAGGCCTTCCCCCATAGGTCTCCACGACGATCGGTCCCGCGCTGCCTGTATCCAGCAGCTTCCTACGACCTTTATTAGATCGCCGATCCATCTGGTTGGGGCCTACGATACGAGGTCGCCATTCGAGAACTTTTCCGCCCCAACGGCCATCAGTTCTCTTCGCTATGTGTCTCGCTCACTAACACTTTAGTTAAACAATTCTTCGAGCTATGTTATAAGTATACATTAGTTCTCAAACGGGTATCCTCGTTTCTTATTCGATCACGTAGGGAACACCAAGGATTACCCTCTCCGTTGCCAGCTTGCTGACCTTGAGCTTTCTTATGAGACCCATATTAATTAATTACTAGCAAACCATTACGATTATTCTATGTAAAAGTTATGGGCAGTTCTCTGGATTAGAACATGACAGACATATTTATAAATTTTCACCATAAAAAAGATAGATATATAATAAGAAGAAAGAAAAAATTGGCAAATTAGATATAACTTTGTGCTTTTTTCTATATATGATAATTTTATAAGTTCATGTTTCTAAATATAATATAGATTTCTCATTTTACAGCTTGGACGTCATTCCATTAATTATACAAAACAAGATGAAAATTAATTAGGTGTACAGGCACTCTTAAATACTTGACATGGCTGTCTAAAAACAGGAAACTAGTTATAAATAGCAATAATTGCCTCCTCTACGCGGCTGCACCAGTAATCACCGTATATAGTTGCTTAATGTATTGCAGTCTGTAACGCAATTAGCAGCCAATACAAGTTCAAGGGCTATCAAAAGCTCAGATTTAAAATTGTCACTTAACTGTACAGATATTTTAAAGTATTAATGGAGTTAATAAATGTTCAGTTGTGGTATTAGTACAATAATTTTGATGCTTGATCAGGCTTCTGGATCCCGAATTCTCCCCCTCCCCTCCCCCCGTCGAGGGTATCCTGCAGCAGGTTTTTATCAAGTAGGTCAATCACTCATCAACCTGTCCTTTTCAGAGTAGGACGATCCCTGGTTTGAGACTTAAGGCGCATTTACCCTGCTTTATCAAAAAAGAGGTAACTGCCCACTTACAACCCTCCTAGATCCAGCCGTGATTCTATACAAGTATAGTGAAAAACCAAGGAGATTTATGTGCATTGTGTTTATGGCTCACTCCATATGAAGCCCTTGTGTGGTATTTATTTTTTTAATTGCCCGGCTTTACAATATCAGGCCGAGCTTCTACCGCTCCCTACTCAGTAGCAGGACGTTTTTCAGTCTCAGTAATAAGACAACTATTAAGTCGCACGACGAAATCGCATCGTTTGATCGTATTATCATTAGCCAATTACACCGCCCCCTTGAGATCAAAGTATAATACACAAATAATCGTTCAAATTAATGCAAGCTTGTAGTGATGTCTGGCATCTCACCAAGCCATCAATACACCATGTTAACTTGTCCTGTCCTGACTCCTGACGATCTAAATTTACACCAGATATAATTTTTAGAACGAAACATGAGCTAGTATTAAATATAACACAAGTAGTTAGTATACTGAACGAACGAACTAAAGTTATTATAACATATGATAGTTCTATTCGTTTATTCAAACTACATCATTTTAATTCTAAAGCAACGATACTCAAGTGTGGACTCCATAAAGTGTTTTCAGCTAAAAACATAAATGTGAAAATTTATAGCCAATGTTAGTGAACATTCCTGAAATAATATTTATTTTATAAGATCGTTTAATATTCTTTAGTAAAATAAATACAGTAACCTAAAACCTACAGTCGCGGGAAAACTGTAGTTTAAAAAACACATAAGAATTATGTGTTACATTCTCATTACGAATTACACTAACTTTCCAACCTTATTTGCATAAAGAATATTTTATATTTAATTACCTATGCTTTGGTTTTGGCATTGACACTGACTTATGGTCAGTTGTGCAAAAGTCCAAATCAAATCAAATCAAAATTATTTATTCAGTCTAGGCTGTTACAAGCACTTGTGAAAGTCGAGAGCTACGCCATCGGTTCGTAAATCTACGGCGGGAGACCTTGTACCGAGAAGAACCGGTAAGAAACTCGGCAAGGGCTGCTTTTTTCTCTCTGTTTTATTTCATACAGAGCGTCAAGATTGAAAAGTGACTTTATTAAAATATGAAGTCACTTTTAGTGTCCATTAAGTTGTCCATTAAACTATTTAGGATTAATGGCGTCAAATTTGTATGGGTAATGTCGTTTAAGACTAATAAAAATTTTAATGGACGTTTGTGCGATTGGCTGTTAGAGGTGTTTGTTAATGATGTAATAAATGTAGGTGTGTATGTTAATAATCATTCATATAAACTAATACAGACCTCTACCTTCATGCACCCATTTGACAGATCTCTTCTTCCTGTTGACGTACATGCTTTGGCCCCTGCTCATGTGATTGCTGGAATCACTCAAGGACCTGGAGATGGCTCTCGCCAGATCCATCTGTTCCTTCACAGTTGGGTGGACGCCAGGCACATAGAAAGCTGAAGACGCGAAAGTTTTCTCTGGAACATTATTATTAATATGTAATTAGTCTTAATTATATATAGAATGAATTGGTTATTGCCTTTTTAAATGGAGATATAATAATAAATCTTTACTAATATTATAAGAAAAAAAGAAGAGGGAAGATTGGATTGTTGATATTGAAAGGCTCAGCAACTTATTGGATCGATTTAAAAATTCTTTCATCTACATGAGGCTACGCAAGTGACACAGACTATAATTTACGCGGGAAGACCCGAAAAAAACAGCTAGATAAAATAGATAATACTCATCATAAAACTTTTTGGTTAATAAAATATTAACAACCCGACTTCAATAAAAGTTCCATAATCATATGAAACACCGCCTTTTCATGTGTATGTTCAAACCTTTACAATAGGATTGAAGTCGATTTTATACTTAAAAATATATATTTATTGTTCTTTGTAATATGCAAGCATGTTATTATGACATAAAAAAATCATAGCAAAACAAAAAAAGAGATCCATTTTGATTCCTCCGATAACCTATAATGCTTAGACTACCCTTTAAGGAATCTTATGGCTGGTTTACACGTAATTAAATAGATAAATCTACTAACAGATTCTAATTTTAAATTAAATTAAGCTCATAAGTCTATAAGATCGTATGAAACGGGTATTAACGCGATAGATTGATAGTTAAAGATAATCTAATATAATGCAAGGTGAAAGTTTAAAAGGTCATAAGTAGTTACGAAAATTTTTACTTAATTGTGTATTTATACGTACTTAACCATTTAAATTACATGGAAACCAGCCATTACGTGATATGTATGTCTAAAATTAATGTTACGGAAGAGACGCTCCCCTTATACAGGCATCTTAGTATCTCTACTAGGATCGACCTTACTATGTGTAGGGGAGACTGGGGACACTTGATCCCCCCTTTTGTTTATTAGCCCTTATTTTGTAAATATTGATCCGATTTTAATTATTTTTGTACTAAAATACGTGAAATTTTATTAGCTATACTAAGTATAGTAGCTTATGATATCGGCGTACTAAACCGTATAACCAGCGTACTAAAACTTCGTACAGAAAATGATATCAAGTGTCCCATATATATGTCTGACTTGATCCCCACTATGTGGAACACTTGATCCTGGCAGGAACAAGTCTCCCACATATAAGATCATGTGATGGCCATACAGAAGAAAATGAAAAATATGTTAAAAATTTATTATTTTTATTTCAATATCATTGATTTATTTTCTTAGTAGTAAATGGTGGAAGGTACCTATAGCCTTTATACAAAACTCCCCACCATACCATCACACTAGCCGGGTGATGAGTGCGCGAGACATTCCGTGCAGAAACTGGGACGTCCTTGCTTATTTTAGCGTACATTTTATTGTTTTATAGGTTGGACTTTTCTTTGACAGTAAAAATTTTCTCAACAGTGAGGAGTATCTTCTTGGCATCGTGTCTCCTCAGCAATAATGGAAAGCGTTTGCGTCGTAACTGACGAAGGCGATCTTTTAAAAAGTTAACTTTCCTATGGCTATAGGCCTCTTAACAACAACCTTAACAACCTTTAGATCATATTTCAGTATTCTGTTCACTGAAACGCGCGAAATAATAATCTCTTGGCTCACGGGAAAACTTTTAGCACGGGGAAAATCTGCATCGGTTTTTTTCCCGCCTTAAATAGTAAAATGACAGTTGGACATAATTGTTTCGTACCCCCATCAACAAACAATTAAATTTGCGATACAAATAAACTAAAAGTTAACATTTTCAATTCAAAATCGGTAAAAAAAAAATAATTGCCAGTAACATTTTGTTTTATTTTTCAGTAAAAAATTTTTTCTTGAAACTTATGAACACACGAGGTACATGCTAATTTTTTTTTTACTTATGAAAGTAATACCAGTTTCGTCTACGTTCCAAAGCTGGTCGGGACCAAAATTATAGCGCTGCAATAAGCTTTTCAAATTTTCAAATAAATTTTTAACGCTGTGTCTGTTAAAAGCTATGGCGCGAGACAAGCTAGTGGCTTCGGGTACATGTAATGATAATTCTTTGTATATGCATATTTAATCCTAAAATTATATTTAAAAAAAGCTAGGAAACATTGATCCGGTGGGATCATATCTTCCATAAGAAAGTGTACCATGTGTACCCTAGGTATGTTGAGGTTATAAAAAAAGATTTACACTTTTCCAACATTAACCAACATTAACACTTTTCTATAAAACAGATGTTTACTCACATAGATAACGACTAGTTTAAAAGTGATACATATCCAAAATAAATTTACTAACCAATTATTTAATCAAAGTAAAAGCATACAAAAAATATTTTTCTGCAACACGAAACACATAAACATCCGCCATTTGCACAACTCTCAAATTTTACAGAAGTGCTAACTTTAGAAATGGAGAACGACCCAAAGACTACAAATTTTGCCAGTCTAAAATTATATAGTGTTTACAGAAGCTCTGGAAATCCATTGTATCTAGTCTCCCGTAAGGATCAAGTGTCCTCAGTCTCCCCTACCTTTTATTGATTTTTTTTAATACTTTTTGACTGAAATATGAAAAAACAGCGCTCACCAAACTTGCGATCTTTCTTAATAATATGTTCTTCAGCATCAGCCGCCGGTGTGAAGATCTTGTTCAGGTCAATTTCCTTATCCCCCAGTAGAAGTGACTTATTTTCTATGTTTTCCTGAAATCACCAGGAATACACATTAGAATCATTGCGAACATCAAACAAAAATATAGTCATGAAACTATTAAGATTTTTTTTTAAACAATACCTATATTTGTATTAAAATACTTTATCAATGGTATGTAAATTGATATGGTCCTTAAAATGGAAAAATAAGAGACAGATTTAGACAGTTTTAGTGAAAATGAATAGTTCTCTTTTGTAAATTCTATTTTATCCTTTTATTTACAGTTTCATAAGTTCCGAATAAGTACTGGGGGCCAATTCTACTAATTTACAACGATCGATCGTCAATAGCGTTTCTGTAACGGTTACGTTTCGATTTTTGCTGTAAATTTGCATTCTGCTAACGTCAATTATCAAACGAACGTTTACTAAATTGAAACGTAATCGTAGCCGAACCAAACAGCTGTCATTAGTGTTACCAGAATAAAATAAATGAAATTATTAGTTAAACGGGAGACGATTAATGATTATTCATTTTTTTATCACTATATAATGAATGTATTACATTTGTATTCGATCGTTTTAAAATAAGGACGAAACAACCGAATATTAGCTACATTAAGAAAGTGCATACCTAAGTGTTAAGCTACAAGGGAAAATACCCGAAACGCGAATTTATCTATATATATAAAAATGAATTGCAAAATGTGTTGGTAAGCGCATAACTCAACAACGCCTCGACCAATTTGGCCAAATCTTTTTTTAAAATGTTCGTTGAAGTTCAAGGATGGTTTTTACGGCGAGAAAAATTAGAATTATTTCTGGAAAAACCCTAAAAATAGCCCTTTTCTTTTTCCCATACAAATGATTTGTAACTAAAACGTAGTCAATTTGAGCTTTATTGCTATGGTATAAAGTTCATATTAAATTACAAGCACTCACTGTTGTCTAAGCAATGTAGGTGTGTTCCTAACGTCAAAGATCATATCTATCAAAACAATGTGCGTGTGTGCGTTGGAGCACAGAATACATAGTTGGAGGAGTTTAATGTCGCGTTCCGAAACTCGCGTTTCTTTTGTATTAGTTTCGGCACGCAGAATTTTTTTAAATACGTAGGCAAAAAAACTGCCACATTACAAATCTTTTTGACAGGACGAAGTCTGTCGGGTCAGCTAGTAATTAATATTTTTATCATTATGAGTATTTGACACTATAAAAATAAGTTGCGTATTATTATCATCATGTTAGATAATAATCTAATAAAAGTTTATTTCTTATAATCTGTAGATTTTAAAATTATATTCATCGAAAATAGAACAGATTCTCATGTAATATATTGACAGTGTGTTTATAATGTATCAAACAACTATTTTAATTAATTAGTTTTCAGAAAAGCGTCATATACCCAATTCTATTATTAAGCACTCAACTTTAAACATGCTTAATATTTAAAGCATAAATCCGATATAATTAAGTCTTTTAATTAACAAAAAAAGTCAGATGAAATACTATAAATCCTGGCGTCAACTAAAGATAACGTCAAGCTTAAAGAGTTAAGTTTCAAAATTCAAATGGTGTTTGTTTATTTTATTGTTTATACCGAGTTTTAATTCGCAAAATAAATGTTATTATGTGAGATAAAGTAGCATGAAAGTGAATAATATGATTCCGTAAAATAAAACGGTACCTACATGGGTAGGTCGTGAACAGAAAAGTTTTGACTCATTTTCAGTCACTAACAAACTGTAAGAAGTGAGGTATGCAATCAGTCCAAGACTAAGACGAGCATTAATCCAGAGGTGTATACTTTACTTTAAACAACTCCGTTTCAAAAGAATGTACAACAAAAATAATCATTAAATTTATACATTTGTTTGTACTAAAAATTAAATGTTAAAGTTAAATGATGATTGCATATGACTTTAGTAACTTCAATCCATTTAAACAGAATTCATTAAACTTCATTGAATATCATCAGACTTCATCAAACTACATGGACTTAGTTGAACTTCATAGTTCATATTGTGACTTTATGGGACTTCATTAGGTTTTCATATAACATTTCCAATCACGGGCATTGGAAATTACATAATAATAATAATATATATATTTATTTATTTGGGCGTTGTTGAATCAACAACCGTAGTAGTCCGTAAAACTTAGGTAAAATGCAAAATTGCACCAAAATTAACTAAAAGTATATTAAAGTTTTTTTTATTCAATATGATAATGAATGAATTAATCGATTATTTTCCAATCGATGTTTGATTTTCATGATTTTCATTGCAACACCAATTCACTTTTTGTCAATGCAAACCACAATGATACAGACAATGTTTTAATTAATCTTTCATTCATTACTTTTTCATTTTACATGTAGAAATTAATTTATTCACTTGACTTTGGCTGAATTGTGTGAAATGCGCAGATATACCATTAATAAAAGAAGAATGAAATTGACAAAATTGAATTGTAAATGACAATTTAATATGGGATATCTACTAAAACAATCCCCATATGTGTATTTTTTTGTAATATTAAACTGTAATAGGAAGTGAAACATTATACTGGAAAATATTATTTACAAAATTAATTTTATAAAATAATTCATACCATGTATTGGCTACGCACGTAAAATTGGCAGAATTATGCAAAAGCCCTTAATAAAAGAAGAAGTTTTCGATTGAAAATAAATATTCATACGTATCAATAACTTAGTGAAGAAGATAAACGATAGTCGATTCAAAGTAGACATTTAAGAGAGAATTATTGATGATGAAATGAATCCAATATCTTTCGAAATCTGGCTATACCTACATCTGTACACCGAATCAAGCAAGGCAACATAATATATACTGTGGAAAATCTATTCAAGATTAAATTTAAAACAATGTTTGTTATAGAAACCCATTAGAAATGTCATTATTGACTAGATATTATAAGTAAGATCAGAGAAAATTATTAATGATTTGACATATCTTTCACATTAAGTTGTATACAAATTAAATTCTTGTAGTTGCATGGATCTGCTCGCAGCTGTCATCCATGCTGACTATGAGCAAATTAAGTATAAGTTTCAACTGATATAAAAGAACTTACACATATAAATTCCTGCCAAATTGAACAAGAGCTCCTGATTCACAGGCTTATTTTTTTTTTGTTCTAAATTGTAACCCATCATAGCGTATGACAGTTTTCTTTGGAATATTGGTGGTTGGTTTTAACTTTGTGTCAAAAACAGTAGAATATGTATTTTTCATGTAGCTAATACTAATTAGGCTGAACATTTATCTTGCACGCAACTTAATATATGGTTACAGAAAGCCTCATGTTATTTCAAATGTTACATAAAACTGAGCTGAGGCTAAGATCATTTTATTTTATTTTTAAAATTAAAAATAATTCAGAATAAAATCTTATAAACAGTATATTTACCTGTTTAACAATCCTTTAAACATGATGATGATATGATGAAATAATCCTTTATAATATTATAATCTCCAAATAAAAAAGTGAGTAATACTTTGTCAGAAAAAAAAATATTCATAATTATAATTTTTTAATTAAGATTATTATTTGATCATATTTTCTTTTTAATGTTATTGATAACATTTACACCCCTGTCTTCATAAATTGTTGTCTCTCTCTCTCCATCCCATGGTTGCCTGGAAGAAATCGCTTTAAGCAATAATGCCGCCAATTGTTATTTTATTTTACCTATATAACTTGTGTAATGTTAACAATAAAGAATTTTCTATTTTATTCTCTATAATGGTATTATTAATATAGTTTTGGTGAACTTCCTAAACATAAATGAGCATATGCTCACTAGTAATGCAGGTAATTCTTAAATTCACAAAACCTGCTGGTTATCTGGTAGTTAAATTGGTTTTAGCAGACGCCCAGACTGTGAGTGTTTATGGGTTTAAATCCCACCTCAAGCACTAATTGCTTGAAGTGGGTTTTTTAATTATTTTCCTTTAAGATAAATATCAATATAGTATTGCAAATGCAAGTGATCAGAAAAAATAATGATAAATTAATTAATTTTTAAACAAGGACTTTTTCAGTGCCATTTTTATTGGAATTCCACACATGCTTGTAAATACACACTTTTAAGTTTTCCTGTAAAAATACTACAATAGTTTACTTTTTTCAATACAAAATATTCAAAAATTCATGTTTTTATAATCATAGATAAGTTTACTTAAAGCCAATAGCCCCTACAATATAATAATGATTTTTACGATGTTCCTATTTACAATGATTGTTTATAATTATGTAAAGTTTTAACAGAAATATAATTATTGATTTTAATTTACATTATATGCCTCAACTAGGTGGACCTTATTTATGTTAAGAATCTACATAATATGAATTTAACATTTCAAATTGATAGAGAAATGAAAACCTATTAATTTATCTATAAAATATAAGTTTTTAATAAAAAAATAATAATTTAAGATTAATAATCAAGATATAATTTATTTTATTTTTAAAGTCTGCCAACATTTTTACATATCAATAAGCAACCACAAAATTACAGAACTATCTATAACAAATATATGAAATGGTGTACATAAAAAGTTTATTAAACATATGCATGCACTATCACACTTGTTTATCTAGCTCCATAGTTTTCGATTTCATTTTTTTTCTAGTAATTTTACTTAATTTATATCATATGGATTGCGTCTGAAGTAAATATACAGATTTTGTATATTTACTTCAGACGTCAGGGTGCTCATTGAAAGTATCCTTGTATCTTTGTGAAATAAATAATATTGGATAGAAAATTTTATATACTTGAAGTGCTAGACAGTTAAAGATTAAAATTTTTTGGTACCTTAATATAAGGTATTTTTATAAATAATTAATGATAAAGCAAACATATCAATGGATTTACACAATTTATTATGTTCTTTACAGTCTATTGATAACTCACTCACAAACTCTTAAAATGTAGGAATTAAGAGTCACAGTGGATTGGAGTATTTAATATATTTCACATTGTAAATACATAAAAGTCAGATGAGAGTAAAGAAGAGAGT